GGCATGCAAAATATGATTATTTCAATTACTGTAATGATCATTGAACTTAAAATTTATATAGGTTAGGTATCGGAAGTCCATTCTATATTTTGCTTAGTTGTGAAGTAAACGGAGTTATCTCTCAAATTTAAGTGTCTCATGTAAATCAAGGTGTTCTTAGATCTTTTATTGTTTCTAAATGTCTCTTTTGTTATTTAAAAAAGTAAATACTACTTAGTTTAGAATACTGGGATCGAGACAAAGCAGTGCCTACATTCCCAGTGCAGATGAGGGACTGGAAGCAGACCTGTGTTCTTGGGCTTGTGATTAACCCCGGTACCTCGGTGTGGTGCCTTTACACCTTTTGCATGTTTCATGAAAGCATTTACAAACAGAGTTTTTTAACTCCTCAATAATTTACCAGTTAAAAATAGCTCAGTAATTTTAGGGGAGTGTTGTTTTCAGCAAAGATGAGCTTTGCTGCTTGTTAACCTTGAGCAAACTGCAAATCTCTGCTTGCCTCAGTTTCCCCCACAGCAGAGGGAGGTATAATAACCACCTCGGAGCTGTTTAGAGAGCCACTAATGGAAAGTTTTTTGTAAGAATAAATTGCTTTAATTATTATTGCTATTATTAGTGTACGTATTTTGTGTGCTTTAAAACGTAGGGTAGTACACGTCAGTGAGGCTCCGTGTCTTCTCATGGCAAAGATGCTGATGACCACCAAAATAGGCTTTTAATTTGGAAGTTATTTCAGTCAGGATAATCCTCTGGCGATTTTGCCACTACTTGTAGAGAAAATATAGCAAAGTTTTAAATCCCATCCCGAAGGCTGGAATTTATCTTGATGAACTTAAGCGGTCTGAAAGCTAGGTGCCTTGTCTAAGGGGGGTGTCTGAGCTCTTCTTGCTTACTGGGGAATGAGGAAGATGAGGATGCTCTTGGCTGCAGTTTCCAGGGATTACGTAACCCTGAAGTTCCTTTCTCAGACTACAGTGGCAGGGAGTGTAAGTGATGAGCATGGCACTAGATGCCTAAATTTAGAAAGCTGAAGAGAAATAATGCGTTAATAGACTAAATTCAGGGTTTGATAGCTACTGTCTTCTGTTTCCTGTTATGAAGTACTGCTGTGCATTGTTACAAAGCTGCTGCAGCACAAAGGTACGGTGCTTCTACAGGATCACTGCTTTTACCCTACAGCTGAAATTTTACGGTTGATTCCCCCTTTTTGCTTGTGCTGCTATTATAATGAATTAAGGGATAATAGGAGTGTGGATCTTACAACAGTTTAGACTGAATGTTGAGATGTGGCTCAATGAAAAGCATGAGAATGGCTAGCAGAGAAGAAATAACTGAATTTTCTATGTTGCAGGCTTTAAAATGAAAGATGTTATTAGGCCTGGGGTTTTGTACACGTGGCTTCTGACACAATTGGCCTGAGTTGGGTTAGTTTTGATGAGCTGTGTAAATTTAGGGAGAGTTTGACACTTGGAAATGCTGTCCCTGTGGTGACCTCTGCCTCTGAATTCTTTAAAAGAAAAGTAAGAAAAGCAGTCTCTCCTCCCCCTGTTAACATTAAATGTCAACAGCTGTATTTTGCTGCTGGTAATATATTAACTTTTCAGCCTTGCCTTTTTCAAGTGTTTATTGCTTTAGAAGTGAATTAAAGCTTATCACCAGGCAAATGTAAGTCTTACAGCTCCCTTGACTTCTCGAAAGAAGCAATTTCTCTTAAATAGATGTTTTAAATTACTGACCATCGAGCCTCCTAATTGTGCTACATTAAATTTTGATTCTGGCATGGTTTGTTTTGGTGTCTGCTTTTCTATCTGTTGAAATCCTGTGACAGTCAGTAATTAGGAGTAGCTCTAATGTAAAGAAAAGATGGTAAGGTACAACTGTGGTTGTAGTTAATCCTTAATTTTCCTTATTTTTTTCCCTTAATTGTTAACCTGAAAGCATTTTTTTTCCATTTATTTCCTAGGTTAGTCCAATTGTCCTTATTTCTTGGTACCACACATTCACTTTGCATCACATCATAGAATGGTCACATATTTGGCTGGGGAAGTATTACTTATTTCCAGATTTAACCCCTCCTAACCCATCCTTTTAGCACTGAAAAGGAAACAGGCCTTTGGAAATGTTTTTTTTTTAGATAATTTTTTTATGTGCCTTTGCTGCAGCTTTCATCTAGTTGTAGTTGTCTACAACTTACTTATTCTTTTATTTATTGTTTGGGTTGCTTTAAATACACACATGTATTTATTGCTTATTTCTTCTGTTACACGTGCTAGTAATCCTAGGAGTTGTTGAAGTGTTGAGGCCATTATTTTGGCCTCATTGGTCATTTACTAGTGATAGGTATGGATAACCCTCGTGTCAGGAGCCTTTCATTTCCAGATCTGATCCTGAAATGCAAGGCTGAGAAAAGCAGAAATAGACTGCTGTGATTTCTCTATAAATAAGGAGTTCGGTTTTTCAGTATGGTTAAATTGGTGGCTATTGCACTGACAAGTATGAAAGTACAGTGTGTAAATTATATTGAAAATATTTCTGTCTGTTTGATGTATAATAAATTTAAGCTAAGTTATAAGGTGTGCTGTTTGGAAGTGTGGAAGATACAGGAGTGGAGCTACAGATAACAAGTTTATGCTTGTATTTCCTACTGATGAAGACTTTCACACAAGTAATTTCTATGGGTAGGTGATGAGAATATCACTCTGCATGTATATACATTCATTATACATTTTTGCATGATTATACATGTAGGAGTGGTACAATTTTGACTTGAGACTATTGGTGCCTTTTGTCCAAATATAATTTCACTTGTGTAGACATGTCTATCTAAAATCAAATTTTGCTTCTGCTTTTGAAGATCTCAGTCAGAAGCGAGAGAAACAAAGACCTGAAGGAACAGTACATAGCTCCTGAAATCTTAGGTAACCTATTGAAAAAATGGTCATATAGTCAATATTGTACTTGACCCTCGTATCTTCTGCACTCAACTGTTTATTTTTATAGATCACATTATATATGTTCACGATGAACTTTGATTATAAGGCTGAAAGAAAACATGCTTCTCATGATTCAGTCCAGTTCTTGCTTTCTGCATGTAATTTAATCATCAGCTGTCACAAATAATTAACTGAACATCAGCCAGCTTAATTTTGAACTTTATGTTACACTATTTTGTAATTGCCTTTTGAAAAGACAAATATTGCCTTTCAGTTAATTATCAGGACTTCCTTTTCAGTCATAATCATCAGCATTTCATGTTGTGAACAGTTTGGTCTTTAATACATTGGTATGTAACTACCCATTTATTTTTGTTTGGTCTGTTTTAAGTTTGTAATATAGCATTGTTATATGAAATTGTTGTGTTGGAGGCAGGTCTGATTGGAAATATTTTGTGCATTTCTTCATACCTTGTTGCAAAACTGATCTTTAGTATGATTTAAGCAATATGGTCACTCTTTAGTGAAGTCTGTTGCTAATCACAAAATAGGCATTTCTTAAAATAGGGGGTGTTGAATTATGTTTCAGGGACCAAGTTACAAAAAAACCCCAAACCAACCAAAAAACCCATGAGCAGACAAACCCACCCTAAAAACTTCAGTTGAAACAGCCTTTCAGAGGAATAAATTTGAAACTTTTAAATCATTGCATTCTTTTCTGTCTTCAACAGCCACTTAACACTTCTAAAAGAAGCCAGTCTTTCTGAAAAGTTTTTTCATTTTATTCTTTGTGACTTTTAAAGATTTCTTTAGTCATTCTATAACTCTGAAGCTCCTATTATCCTAAACACATTACTAGTTTATGGTTATTTTGTATTATTCCATGCAAATTACACTGTCTGTGTTTCATACCCGTAACAAAAATGTCTTGCAGACCCTCAGCTGCTAGAACTTCCTTACAGTTAAAGAACTGCAGTGGCAAACCTGCTGAGCTCTGACCCAACTTGTGTTTCTATTTCATACTCATTTTTGTGGATGAAGTCTTGGCCCAGAGAAAGTTTTGATTCTTTCATTTGGGGAGTGGGAACTCCAACCACTTTCGTCCACTCTTAGTTGATAAGCTGTTGCTGAGACAAGGCATTTGAGTTAAAATATGCATCCTTTCAGAATTGCAGCATTCATCCATTCTCTCTGCTTCCATATTGATCTTTGTCTTGAATTTGACTTTTCTGAGCCTCTTATGTTTGCAGCATGCTTTCCAGTTAGGATTTTCATTCCTCACAAAGAAGATAGTCCATCTTAACAAAATAGACCAAAAATAGCTTTTTTATTATTCCTCAGGAATAGATTTCATGTAAGCAGCTTTCTCTCCTGCTTCTCCCCTTCACTTTGGTGGCAAAAAATATATATGGTAATCATATTGAATTAAAAGCATATTTATCACTGCACATTATAGTTTTGTTTCTTGATATTCTTGATCTTAAAAAAAAACAGCAGCAAAAAACTTTGCATTTTGAAAAATTCCCCTGCCATTAACAGGTAAACATTATGAAAGGGAAGTTGCCTAATGTTAAGTTTATTGTCACTGGGTCAGTTATATCAAAAAGTTAGTTTTATTCAACAAACCCTAAAGTAATGTAAGCTGTCACTTGAGTTCTGTAAAATCCTCTAGATAAATATCTTGTCTTGCCAAATTTTATGTCCTGTAACTTAACTATTTTTACATTTGAAACTGAAGGTTTTATCCTTTTACTACTGTAAATCTAACATTGTCAGATATGGAGATATTTATGTGTTAATGTAAAAAAGATAATACACAAATTACTGATACATTGATAAACATGGTTTTCTTACATTTGTGTTTTCTGTATATGAAAGGTTAAAATGTCTCTGTAATCTCAGACTATATTCATTAAATGAAATGTTAAGAATTCATAAAATTTATAGTTCTGTAAGAGATTCATGTAGGAGAAGGCATCGGTCCTTCAACAAATCATTTGTGCTTTTAAAGGTTTCTTTCACAGTATGCCTACTTCTAATCCATGTTGTTTTTCTCTCCTTCTGCAGATGGACCTCCTGTCATACCTCATTATGATATATCAGACACAAATTCAGACTCAGAAGTGGTAAATGTGGATAACCTGTTGGCAGCTGCAGTAGTGCAAGAGCACAGTAATTCCTTAGGGAATCAAGACTCAGGATCTGCCTGGAGAACCAGAGGGCTGCTAGATGAACTGAGCGGTGATACAGGTTTGTTTAAATTCTTTGACATTTTTCCAGCATCTCAGTTGGTGTCTCTCCATTTCCTGCTTTCAGTATTTTCATAGTTTATGAAGCTTGAAAAGCCCCTTGTGTGGATTTTGCAGTAAAACAGTACAGGTGCTTATTAAAAATGCCTGACATTTGTTCTAAAATACAAATGATAAAAATAGACAAAGGTTGCTGCAATGTATTACTAACAGTAGTTTTCTTCATTATTTTTTTCTCTTTCTTTTCCCTCTAATTATTTCTTGGAACTTAGGTCTTGTGGATTTGATGGTTTTGTAATTTTAAGTGAGCTCAGCTTGTTATTGAATACTTGATTATGATGACCTATGCCATCAGCTAGGAAACTGATCATAACCTCATTTTAAGTATTGCAATTGTGTATGTCTTTTTTCTTCTTTGTATCTTTATTTCTTTGAAATACAAGCATTAATCATTCCCATCTTCCATCTGAGTTTCTAAGGTAACTTAGACAATTGGACAGATCAGCACCAGATAAAGATGAAGGGTGAAAAGATGTTGGTAAATGGGTTTAGCATCAAGAGACAGCAAAGAAGTTTCTTTCAGGAAAGCAAGAGCAGAAAGACTATGGGAGAATTCAGAGGAGTTCATGTAGTTCGTAAAAATTGTTCAGTTTCTGTTGCTGCCTGCAACTCTTCCCTAACAAAAGAATTAAACCACAGGATTAAATGTTACTGTGTTCTGCATGCATAGACCTAACGGTGTACTTCCTATCAACTTCATCCTGTAGTTTTATATGCTAACATACTGCCTTCCTTTCCACTCATGGTTTTAATGCCCATGTTAAGATTTTTAGCTGCAAAAGACAGAGTATTGCCTGCAGTGCTGGAGCATAGCAGAGTTTTCTTTCATGCTATGTTTTCCAAATGTAAGCCAGCCAAAGGGTACCTGCATTTGAAGTGTCCTGATGGCTCTTAGGTACTTCTCAATGTCTATGAAGTTTAAAGAACTACAAGCATGTGGCTGATTTGGAAAAAGATCTTCCATTATTGAGTGGACAAGTCTGTTATTTGAATATGAGACTCTCTGTCACATTTTCACTGTGATCTGTAGCTGGATGTTGTTGCTTTTGGAAGATAGCTGGTTTTACAAGCTCACTGGTATTGTTTGCAGGGTATCGGCTGATTGATGCGTAGCTGTTTGACCCCTAAAAAGCCAACTCCTTTATTAAGTGATTTATTAGATATTAGAACACCTAAAATTAGCTTTAGCACTAATAGATTGGCACTTCAAAGGAGCCTAAGTTTCTTATCAAGCTTTGTTCCACTTTCTGCTTATGAGTACAGTGCTGCAATGCAGCTGAAGGAGATCTGTCTTCCTTCCTCCACCTATGTCCATGGGGACTTGCAAGGACGAGGTAAAAGAAAGCTTCAAGAAACTTCGTCATCCCTGGTTCTATGGGAATGTGTCCATGCAGATTTGCTTCTATTGCTGTAGCCATCTCAATGTCTGAAAGAATTAATCTCTTTTCCTTCATACACCTTGCCCCAGAGCCTTGTAGTCTCAGTGCACTTGTGACTGTACGTTTGTCAGTACTGGCCTTTTCTGACCATGTCTAGGATTGCACATTTGGAAAGGAGAGTTTTCAACACTTGCATCTCATTCACAGCTATAATCTTCAGCCAGTATCTAATTTAACAGACATTAAATGATTGTTCCCATGGGAAAATAACAACATGAGCGCAATTTCAGTGAAAAATCTTACTAAGACACACTATCACATCTTTGTGCATGGGCAAATATTTGGGCTGTTTTGCAAGAACTGATATTGCAGGGCAAACAAAACATCTCCTTTGGGCATCATCCTAATGTTCCTGCAAAGAAATTAACAGCGTAGGCATGTTATTAGGCATGAAGTTTGTATGGCCAGAGTCTGTAAATACATCTGTGTGCTATAATCCTGATTTACCCTCAGCTACTCTTGCAGCATTTACTCTGCTAATCATAGTTTCTTTACTGCTAATTACATTTTTGTTGTCTGAGCTTAAAGCTATGGCAATATGTGAAAGCTCTGTTGGAAATTCCGTTTATACCTCTGGGGATTTATTTTGGGGTTATTTAGTCTGCTTTGCCCCTCTGCCAGACATTACCCTGTCTAGCAAAGGGTGCAGAATGGTGTTACATCGTTAGCACATTAATACAACATGTTAAGGCAGGTTGATATCTGTACCAGCTTGCATGATTTGGTGATCAAGGACCAAGAAGAGCCACACAAGGGTTTGTGTTACTCTCATGCTGCCTGTGCTGTAGCAGCAGTGATATTCAGGAGGGGGGTGATGCGAATCGCTGGGGTGGTGATCACATAAATCTCCCAGTTTGCATGGCCAGCACATGAATCAAAGCCTCTGAGCGCTTCCATTTTATGTTTCACAGTGTGCCCAGTCACTTCTATTAAAGCAAGATCCGTGACCCATTTTGGGACTTTCTGGCAGTCAGTGGTAATTGTCAATTGTTCAGCTAAAATGTGATGTTAGAAAAGGTCTCCTGTGCTATTACTTTGTTTTAAGCTGACCCATCTTTTTTTGTCTTGAGAGGTGGAAACTCCTCCTCTGGGTACATGGCAGCACACAGGTTTCCTTCCCTAGCTCCCCCCCATGTTGCACCAAGGGGCTTTGCTTTCTAAAACCAGAACATACAACCTGGTCTCTACCCCTCTATTTGCTTGCGTCTTTCCCAAGTACTTCAAGCTATCACTAGGAAGTTTCTCTGGCACTTGTTTAAACTTAAATCAAACTTAAATTTCTTCTCTCTGTGTCCTCTTGATCCAGCTGGGGGTATAAATCGGTTTTGCATGTTTACACACCTTTGAAATTCTGTGGACTGTTACTGTGTTCTCCTCATCTTAGAATATTGTCCAGTCAAACTAGACATGTATAATATATTCATCTAATCTCAAATTTCCTGCTACAAAAATGATTCTTCCCGTGTGGTACAGTTGAGTGAGTGGTTTCCAAGAAGCAGGTATTGCCATTGCTTCAGGGCTCAACAGTGTCCCTTAGGTTACTGCTACAGAGAGACAGTAGAAGTAATTTTTTGTTGTTGCTAAGGAAAAATAATTAAATAGAATTTACATCTCTTTATTAAAATAATTATTTTAAAAATTATTTTCTGTAAAACAATGATTTTGGCTGTTTTCTGGTTTTCATGCAAGTACTACTTAACATGTCACAGTATGGCTTCACTAGTTGTGCCTGTGGCCAATGGTATGAGGTTCAGCAAGGCAAAGTGCCAGGTCCTGCACTTGGCCACAACAGCCCCATGTAGTGCTCCAGGCATGGGAAAGAGTGGCTGGAAAGCTGTTATGGAAAAGGACCTGGGGGTGCTTGGGGAATTCCTTTTCCAGCTGATTTCTGAGTTGTGTAAGCTATTAAACATTAGCTGTATTTGCCTTTTCCCCATCTGTAGGTCATTTGGATCCAGGCTTCCTTGCAAGTGACAAAACCTCTTCTGGTAATGTCCAGATCAATGAAGAAATTCATATCGCCTCTTCTGATAGCGAAGTAGAGATTGTTGGAGTTCAAGAACACGCCAGGTATGAATCCCTTTTTCTTGCTCTTAATATTTCTTTCATTTTCTCAGAATACCTGTATTTCCAAAATTAATAAAGAAAAAACATGCTGACTTACACTTCTGTAGTTACCCACCCATGACTGAGGCCCCAAAGATAGCAAATGTTCCACTTGGTTTTATCATTCTGCTTATCATGGTGATGTCAGAATCTGTTTTCCTTCAGAACATTACCAACTTGATAAGTATTCAGACTAAGCTTGCGATTACTATCAAATGTTAACAGGCTGAACATAGGTAGTACTGAGATACCAAATATTGAGATACCAGATAATATATGTACATCAGGAATACAGATTTTAAAGGCATAGTGTGGCTATGCAAATACATAAACAAAACTATATGGATTCTTGTTTGCTTTCAGAATATTCACTTACTTTAAGCATTTAATCAGCTTCCAGTTTAATTAATAATTTAATGCTCTCATTTTTTCAATGGCTAATGTCATAAGATAGCCCCTTTAGATTAAAAATCATATCCTTATGAATCTTGGTTTTATTTCAAGATATGAGAGAGTTCAGAGTAGATGAGGGTGAGAAAGCCAGAGGTTTCTCTCAAGCTCAGATACAAAGCTGTCCAGCTGTGCTTCAGCTGTTGTTCTTGATAGGCTTTTTTGATGTTACTTTTCATATTTAGTTTACGATCTTTCCTTGGCTTAAATTATTACGTACAGTTGAACAAGATTGGCATTTTCACATAGTATGGAGTGTTAATTTGGTGGAATAAAAGCCATTTAAAACAGTAAACTAAACTCTTTCTGAAACTAGTCTTGCTGCCTGGTGGATGCTTGGAGGCGGAACAAGGGTGTGAGGGACAAGGAACAGAGTTGTTCCTCATTGTCCCTTCATTGCATCTTTCTTGAGGAGAGGAAGAAAAAGGTGTGCAGGACTCAGTGTCCTGGGTTGGAAACTATGCAGATAGTCTGGATACAGTCCAGTGCTGTTGGATGTGAAAAAAGGAAGTTTTAAGGTGCCAAAGGAAGAGAGATTTAGTCTTGGCTTTTAGAATAGTGAAAATCCTTGCATGGCCAACTCGTTTGAAGATACTAATTGCTTAGGAGGTAGCTCTCCTGGCTGTTCACCCAGCAGACCCAGGGTTTTGTCCTAATGATAAGCAGAGTGAACTTGTCCTTCAATACTAGCTCATGTAAATCTGTCTAGCACTGTGTACACCTCTCTAGCACTGTGTACACCTCTCTAGCACTATGTACAGCCCTCTGCATGAGGTCCCCTATTCAAAAGCTTTCTGTGTTCCTTGCCTTGATAACATTTACCATGTACAAGGTAATGTTAGCTTAATGCAGAGTTGCTGTTTAAAGTCAGTTTTATATATATATTTGTACTGAGATAATTTCAGCCAATATAGTCTTAAAGCATGGGTTTGTGCTTTCCTTTGTTTATGTAACCATCTCTCATCGCCCAGAAACTAGCTTTTACTGGCTCCATTCAATACTCATCCATTTCAGTTGTTCACATCCTAGTTAGAATTTTATTTGTCTTGCAGGTCTAGGCTTGCAGTTACAAACTATTGATGGGCTTCTGACAGGGTTGTCATTTGGAGAAGGTTTAGGGTTTTGATCAGTATTTTTTGCATGCTTGGTTAGTATGGTGTTTGGATTCAGTTATTTTGCTCACAGTCTTTTTCATCGTGCTCCATATTCTATGTTGTCATTGGAGTGGTGTGAGTTGTGACACTCCAGAGTTTGTCCATCATTTGTGATTTTTTTCAGATGGCTACTGGATCTGTCATCATTGGAATATTACTTGGCATCTGCTTAGGACAAGTCCTGTTTTTCAGTTTGTTTAATTTTTCTCTAATAGATTTTAATTTTTTTAAATTATGCATGTGCATAAAACAGTCTTCCTTTGATTTTTCTTAGTTGCTTCCCCCATCCTTCTTTTGGTTTCCTTTACCTGGTATTTTCTCTTAGCTACAGATTGGAAAGCATGTTCCCAAAGCTCTGTTTGATTGAATGTTTTGCTCTTGGCAGGTTGTGTGACTTGTTTGAGGATAAACACTTATTTTTGCAAGGTATCACAAGGTAGTTTATAGCTTGCTTTTTATCACATTCAGGGGGAAAAGTTAGTATTAGGTTTGTTTAAGCATTGAGGACTGTTCTGAATGGGAATGGTGGACCATAGTCCCTGAGACCAAACATAATGTTTAGTTTGCTTTGGCTACAGGCTTTTCTTGTCAGTTATGCTTAAAAATGCTGCTTCTTAGAAGAAAGCTTTAAAAAAAAATAAATCCTTCATTTGTTAGAGTTCCAGTCCCTTATTACAAATTCTTTGTAGATACGTACTATAAGCATGTAATTTTAAGACTGAAGAAGTAATAAAAAAGTCATTCTGAACATCACATCAAAACTAAATAGCGTATTTGAGAAGGAAATGAGACATTTATAGTCAGAGAAGCTAGGGCTCAGAGAATGAGATTTTTCATTCTTTTTCATGAAACTCTAACTGGAGCCAAGAGAGATGAGCGTAACTGAAGTAAATCTGAAGAAAATAAATTGCACTACTTTTAAGTTAAAACAAATAAAATGTAAATGTCAGGGTTATTTGACCAATGCAGAAAACCTGGCTTCCTGAAATATACAGTACACATGATTCACAAAGAAAAGGGAAAAGGTTACTCCAGCAGCCAAACATCTCCTACTTACGTATGCAGCCAGGAGCAGCTACAGCCACCATCAGTGCTTACAAGAGCAAAATGACTTTTGGAGCACCAGGTTTAAAGTTTTACTAGCCTTTGTTTTAAGATTTACAGCTGGAAGTGGGGTGATGATCTTAAAGGCTCCAGTAAATTCTTACCACTTCATCATATAATAAAATTGGTTGGTCTTTCTTTTTTTTCTCCTTCTAATTATTGTTAGCTTGTACTTCAATTGTCACTATCTATTATGAATATAATAGGTAAAAATACTGTGCAAATAAGTAGGTATGAACCTCACTCCAGCAAAGCACTTTAATGTGTGCTTATCTTTAAATACATGATTTAGTGTCATTGACTCTAATCACTGCAAGCTTAAATGTTTTGCTGAAGTGGGGCTGTGCTCATTATCAATGAGCATTTCCCAGCATGTTTGTAATCTTCAGTTAAGAAGACCAAAGGAAAGAATCAAATGTAATGGCTATAGTAATGTAATTACAAGAGCTCTTTTGTAATTATTGTAATGGAAGTATCATTATGTCCTTATTTTAAGAGGGGTTTGATTTCATATAGAAAGATAGCTTTTATCAAGCCCCACTTAAAATTTTTTCTTTTTTTTTTTAAAGTCCAGTGGGTGAAACTGCTATCAGGGAACCATGCTTATGGATAATGTGTGGTGCTACACATGATGGGGCAAATCTCTTCAAGTTCCTTGGGTTCCATTAACATATTTTATGAGGAATATCTTGTACAGCCACTGGTAGAATTCAGTTCTTAATAATTTAATCCCCACCACCCCCAAGTGTAAGTTCAGTCTCAGCTTTGCTTACTGGGTACTTAACATGTCATGGACTATACCAATGCACACTCTACAAGAACAGTTTGGAGAGGGGTATGTTAACAAGATGTCTAAGTGATGAAACACTCCAGATAAGAATCTTGTGCCTAAATCCAATTGTAGCTTTAATCTTTTGTGGTGCTTTTTGCCTACCTGCAGGTGTGTGCATCCCAGGAGAGGTGTGATTCAGAGTGTGTCTTCCTGGAAGCATGGCTCAGGCTCACAGTATATTAACACTCAGCAAACGCAATCATGGACAGCTGTGACTCCCCAGCAGAATTGGTCTTCACCCCCTGAAGTAGTAGACCTTACTTTGGATGAGGATACCAGGCGCAAATACCTACTGTAATTCAATGTCACCATGTTTCTGTCCCCAACCCTTCTCCCCTTTATGGCACAGAAGTTCATTGTTAAAGCTTCAGCTTCAGAAGCCCTACTTCTGGCATTGCAAAATTCAAACTCATGAAAACTTCATACAAATGTATATAATTTCAGTATAATTTAAAATGGTTTCGCTTTCTCCAAGGAGGATTCCTCCCAGAATTAAAACCCAATAGCACCAAATTTAAAACACAGCTACAGTACTAATGTGTGTGTGTTAAGATTAAGAAATAACTGTGTGCAAACTTAAATCCTCCCACCTTTTCCCACCTACAGCTTTAGAATATTTTTCATTTATCAGTATATTGAGGTGTGTTTTTTTTTTTGTTAGAAGTTAGTGTTTTGCTTTGTGAGCGTGAGTGATTTTGAGAAATGCTGTGTGTTCTCACTGATTTTAGTGGAATTGGGGGTATTCAACACTTGCAAAAACTGGGCCAAGAGTATTCATACCTAAGCTGATTTGGTGTATACCAGCAGGAGGGACTGTCTTTAATACAAACGGCCCATAACATATGCACTGAACAGCTTTTAAAGGACTTTTATTTTGAATAATTTTTCAGTTTACACTCTTTCCAGTGCTGTCTTCTGTCTACTTGACTACTGTGTTTCGCTGATCATTTCCCACTGCTTATTACGATTTAACATAGTAATAGTAGTGACTTAGTAGCAGCTGATTGTTGCAAAAGCACAGGGAAAAAATAATAAAAAGGCCCAGCATCTGTCTCCATTTTAAATATAGCTGAACTTTTCTGCCTGTATCTGGGTCTTGCCTGGAGTAGGAGAAGGGGAGAAATGAAACATTTCACTCATAGGTCTCATTTCTGCTGTTGTTTATTTGCTTCATTGAGTATACAACAAAATTCCAAAGCCCCAGGCTGGCAAAGCACTTTAGCAGCTGACACTGTGGGGCCATTCAAGTGCTTAAAACCCTTTCCTAAGTGATGTTGCAGGATCAGGGCCTGAGGTTGGGATCTTTGTGGGTTTTTGTTTTTTTTTGGGGGGGTGGTTTTTTTTTTTTATTTTTTTGTTTGTTTTTTTGGTTTTGTTTTTTTTTTTTTTAAACCCCTATATCTGCACCATTTTCCTGGCTCTGGGCCATGTCTCCTACCCTAGCTTTGGAATTGTTCTGGGGGTATGATCCAGGATCCACTTGTCTACCAGAATACTGACTGAAATCAGTGTAACTGCTTCCTTGAGAGGGCTGTGATTCCTGTAGTGTGTATGGGAATTCCCGCCCCTCATCTGTCATTCTGAGCCTTTCTCAAGGCAAAAACCAAAGATTAGACTATAACAAGATGACATTCACTTTAAAGACTACTGTGCAATTAAAATGTTCCTTTGTATTCCAGATGTTCCTAGTGGGAATTTTGTACAGCTCTATCCTTGGATTATATTTTTCTTTTTGCCGTTTCTGGTGGTAATCAGGACACGGGAAGTTGTGACTTTCTTTTTGTGTTGGCTGGTTTCTGAATTTACTTGACTTCCAATAATTGTATCTATAGGCAAGAAAAATAAATAAGGTTACCTATTTTTCACATAGAGAAACAAAAAAAACCCTGTATTGTTAGTAACAAAGAGCTTTTTCTTTAACAAGCAGAACAGCTGTGACTGCACTTTAAAGAACAACTAGATTAAGGGATTGTTATTCTAATTTCAAGCTTTCTAAGGCATTGAACATAAGTGAATTGCATGGCCAGAAAAATGTGTGCTGCGTTTCTTGTGGCCAATGTCTTCCTCTGGGGATGGGAGGGAGGAAAGCAGCGGTGCCTGGATGGAGCCGGTGAAGGAAGAGCCCTGTACGACTGGGGCACTGCATTGGTTAGGAGCTGTCCATCTTTTCTCCTCGTGTTGTACCCAAATGGCTGTTTTTAGCACACATGCTGTAACTTTGGAACCGTGACTCGGTGTTGCTGCTTCTTCCTGTTTCACAAAGCCTTTTGAAGATGAGTTTTGACAAAAGCTGCAGGGACCCATTTGTAGTCCTCCCGTGAAAAATGCAAACTAACTCCCTTTTTTTTCAGTTTGTATATGATGTGACTTCCATGTATATATATATAAAAATGACTGTGTCCTAACCAAACTTCCTCCAATTGTGCACTGTGTTAGTTTAAACAATTCATGTATTGTAGTCTGATGCAGGTTTTCTTTTATTTAAAACACTACATAATTTTCTCTTGTTCTTAACAGATTTGAAAGGGTAGAGATCTGAAAACCGCAATCACTGGATAGCTGCGAAGTGGGTTTGTTTTCTTGTTGTTTTGTTTATTATTTTTTAAGAGAGCAAAAGGTGCCTGGACGCTTTTGCTCTTCTCAGCAGGAAAGAGAAGTGTTAGCCATTGTATGGCTGCAAACCAGTGCACTTGAGGGCTGTCCAGAACCCATTGGAGCTGATGTTTTTCACTGATTTCAATGTGCATTGGCTCAAGCCCTGGCTTAGCAGTTCCTGAAATTGCTGGAGTGTGAACTTGGAATCTTCTATTGTGAAGACAAATCATTGCTTAGGATATAAATGTTTAAAATGTGCAACTCTTGTTAAAAGATCTGATTCTTCTCGACACTCATTATTTAGTTCTCATTTTCCATCTAGTATTTAATGGTCTTTTGAGAAAAAAAAAATAATAAAACAGAGTGTTATATATATAAATATATATATTTTTGGTGCAAGATGAGACCTTCTGTTTTTTGCAACAAGTCTGTAGCATAAAGGTTAAACTATTTTAAAACAAAATAAAATAAAGTGTATTATTTAAACAATATCTATTTGTTTTTTTTTTTTTTTTTTTCTTATTCCACTTTCATTAAATATGCTGCTGTTTGTCACATCTCCAAAATGCAGCCTTAAGCTCTGGCAGTGTTACACTTGGATTTTCTCACACAGCCATATAGCGCTGTGGCTCAGATCTACTGACATTTGAAATGAATGTGTAGACCTGCTATGAAGCTCTGGGCAGATCCTTGCAGACCATGAGAGATGTGGTGTCAGGATGAACAGTCTTGAGAATCACTGAGTTATGCTGGGGAATTTACAAACACAAGTGAAGAGAAGGATGGTGAGTGTAACTGTGCTAAATTTGGGGTCCTGCTGCCTGACAGCTCTCTCAGAGCTCATATGGAAATAATAGTAGTAGTAGTAGTAATAGTAGTAATAATATAAATTGAGAGCCCCTGAGGAGAAGGACTTGGGGGTCTTGGTCACTGAGGAGCTCCCTATGACCCAATTTCAGTGTGCGCTTGAGCCCAAACCCCCCCTGAGAGCATGAGCAGAAGGTTGAGGGAAGGAATTCTCCGCCTCTCTGCATGCTGGGGAGACCCCCTCCTCCAGACCTGGTGCAGCTCTGGGGGAGCAGCAGCACAAGAGGGATGTGGAGCTGTTGGAGCAAGTCCAGAGGAGGCCATGGAAATGCTGTAAGGGCTAGAGCAGCTCTGCTCTGGAGCCAGGCTGAGAGAGCTGGGCTGGTTCAGCCTGGAGAAGGCTCCTGAAAGGGAGACCCTAGAGCAGCTCCAGTGCCTAAAGGGGCTACAGGAAACCTGGAGAGGGGCTTTGGACAAGGGCCTGTACCACTCCAACCCAGTGTATGATTCTGCGATAATAAAGATCCATTACACTTCTAACTGAAAAGTGGAGTTCACTTTAGTTCTGATGGTTTTTTATCACAAGAAGACTCAGTGGTGCCAATAAGGAGAACTGTTTATCAACGTGTTTTAAATGCCAAGATGGATAAGGAGAATAAAGTGTTCGCTTTCAGTTCCAGTGAGTTCCTGGTTCTCATGAAGCTTGAAAATACAAATTCTGGGTCTGGCCATGAAGGTGGACCCCAAGCTCAGATGTTATTTCACATCTATCACCAGCTGAGGGAGAGCAGCAATGTGGAATTTGGTTCACATGTAAGAGGAGAGCTGATGTATCTCCTGATTCTTTTCTTCCTCCATCACCAAGGGACACTCAGAGTCTTTAGACTTCAGGATGTACTGAATGGAAAGCTTAACGTTCCTCCTGTGGCACTCAGCACATCCCTCTGTCTTTCCCCTGTGAAGTCATTGCAATGCATATTAAAGGCTGCAAATCCAGTTTGCCTCGGAATAGGGACAAGAAGGGTTTGACTAAGTGCATTAGTTTCCCACTTCCGTGGAGAACCTGACCTGTCACTGGTGCCCTTTGCTGCGTGCATCAACTCCATCCTGAAGTGCTGCTTGGTTGTGCCTCTTCTTTTCAGGGCTGTCATCTGTGAATGTCGGCACTGTGGCTCTCTCCAGAGCATCACAGGGATGCAGTTTCCCTTCTGCCTGTGAAGGAGAGGAGCAGCGCACCTGCAAAGTGCAAACTTGAGAAGAGCCCCGCATTTACTTTCATCTTAGAATCATAGGATCATAGCATCATAGAACAGTTAGGGTTGGAAAGGACCTTAAGATCATCCAGTTCCAGCCCCCCTGACATGGGCAGGGACACCTCACACTAAACCATGTCACCCAAGGCTCTGTCCAACCTGGCCTTGAACACCACCAGGGATGGAGCATTCACAACTTCACTGGGCAACCCATTCCAGTGCCTCACCACCCTCACAGTAAAGAATTTCTTTCTTATATCCAATCTAAACCTCCCTGTTTGTCCTGTCACTACAGTCCCTAATGAATAGTCCCCAGCATCCTTATAGCCCCCCTTCAGATCTTCAGTGCAAATGAGGTGAATGCCATCCTTTTATGGAGATTAAACAGTAGATGAGGATCCAACCCCCCCTCCCCAGGTCTATGTCTTGATATCAGGAAGTGTATGAAAAGTAAATGTGTTCCTGAAACCCCTTATGACTGCTGGTTCATAAATGCCCATTGGAAGCTTTCTCTTGGGGCTGGTTAGTCACCTGGATTTGCAATTCAGTTTGAAATCAGAATGGAGAGCCAGTTACTGGGAAAGAAAGATCTTTCAGACAGTGAATCTTGGGGCAAAGCTGTATTGGGCAAGGGAAAACTGCCTGAAAGTTGAATTTCAGTTAAGTTTCTACATTTACAAGCTGCAGCTTTGGGTGAATCCAGAGCAACCACATCAGAGCTGGAAAATGGAACAAGTGAGACTTGCCTGTCAAATTCATTTTCTGTTGCTGTAGGTGATGCATATTGAATGCAGAACTCCTGGAGTCCAACTGGTGCCTTTTCAAGGGGGGTTCCTACATATGCGAAACACCATCTCATATACAGTGAGGATCACATTGGCTTCCTCCATGGCTTCACAGCACTGACAGCTTTTGGCTGGCCCATGATCAAGGACTTCCACATTTCCTTCCATGTATGCCTGCCTTAAACTTGACATTGCTGAACTCCAATGTCCTGTCCACCACTCCAGCATATCTGACTTCATCCATGACCTCCAGTACTGACAGCGCTGCTGCACAGCTATGTGTGATCAGCAGGTTTGAGTACAAATTTCCAAGTCTATAAGCCAAAGTCAACCATAAAAACAGTGATTTTCCTTTGATTCCCTGGAAATTCATCTTTCCTAATGTTACCACCAGCATCCTAAAAAAAACACCTCATTTTCTCCCCCATCATTGCAGCCTCTGGATTCGGCATCATAGACCTCCGGGTGAGGCTGCCATTTTGAAGCAGGGCAAATTCAGATCCCCTCCTCTGTGACTGTGGATACAAAGGAGATGTTTGTCCATGGTGTTATGAGTTGGTAGTGATTCTGTAAATCCAAAAGAGGAGCTTTCAAGTCAGAGGTGGTTGAGCTGGAATGAAGCTTTTAAGATCCTAATGGGAAATGGGTTGTGTATCCTCACTCACAGCTCATCCTGCCTGGCACAGAGTATGACAGAGACTCAGGAGAGGATAATTTTCTTGGTTTTCCACATGATTACACTCCCCATTCAGGTCCATTTACCCACACTCTCCCTGGACCTTGTGTGACAAATGAAAATACCCGTCATTATAAATCACTGTAACATGTTACAGCTCTGATGGGATCCATCATCACAAAGAGCCACAGAAAAGCTCTACAC